GAGGTCAGTGGCACTCTAAAGCCAAAGTCTGGGGGCAGGGCGGGGAAACCTAATAGTTTAAAAACCCTTGGAAGAGTGGGTGTTCCTGACAGGTGGAAATCAACTCTGATTGGTTAACAATTAGTGAGAGAATGAATGTTATGACAGCTGGGCTTATTTTAATGAGGGGCTTGGGGGAACCCCCTCCCCACTTTGATTACATCACTCTTCTAGAAAAAGACTCATCTGTACCCAGATCACCCTTACCCGTGGCAATCCAGACAAAAGGATCTACACCCAGTCCTATCAAAGTAGAACAATGGTGGGGTTACAGTCAGAACTCCACCTAGATAAGATGGTCTTTACCCTTGAATTAAAACTGAGCTTTCTCAGTTGGGTGGAATCCTGCCCAAGGTTGAACCCAATCTCATCATCAACTCTTGTCCTTCAGAGGCTGCCTTGTACTAGTAGCTAAATGAGGAAATGGAAAGGGAAAAAAACCCTAGATCCCCCATATTAGTAATTGTTTATTAATAATTATTTCTCTTATATAATTGATGACAAAGATGACACTGATTTAGGCTGCATGAATAAAAATACAATCTCCATGGAGATAAGAAGCCTCCTGTGCTCTGAACTAGCTATGGAAAGGTCACCTCTGGCATTCCATAGTCAGTTCTAAGCACCCCATTTTAAGAAGGATGTTGAAACCTTCGAGCAGGTTCAATGAAGAGGTGAAGGCACCAGGGATGTTCCTCCTGGAAAAGTCTTTGGAGATAATGAAATGATAGTGGTTTTCAAGCATTTAGAGGAGTGCCACATGCAAAAGGAACTATGTTGGTTCTGTTTGATCCCCCCAAAACAACACTAGGACCTATGAATTGAGGTTAGAAGGAAGCAGATTTTAACTCACTGTAAGGGAGCATTTCTTAACAACCGGAATCTAATGGGCTTCCTTAAAGTCTAGTGAGTTCTCAGTCACTAGAGGTCTTTAGGGGACCAGAGGATTACTGGTTACTGTAAAAGGGATTCATGCCTTGGAGAGGGCTTGACCTAGCTGACCTCTGAGGTCCTTTTCAACTTGACAGTTCTGATCTTTCTACTACACTACTTTGCTGCTCTGAGGACTCTTCCAATTCTCAAGATCTAATGACCCGCAAAAGGTTGTTTTCTTTACTAACTTTTGATTTTTGGACTAGACTTGTGATTTTACCAGTAGAAGGAGTTCTGATGAGGAAGCTCCTTCTATGAATAAAGATGAGCAGATGTGGTTTAGCTGACATGGTCTGAGTTTCCTGGGGGCACTCCAAGGTTAAATGACTTTGCCCAAGGTTACACACAGCCAGTCTGTGTTGGGGGTGGGATTTTGAAGCCAGGTCTGCCAGTTTTCTATCTCCTTACTACTCTACTCTGCCTCATCAGACTAATTTGGTCTAAATTGACTAAATTTGGTCATTCCAAAAACTAAACACTGAATGTAACAAAGCTGGAAAGAGGAAAGCAAAGGAGAGATGGGTGGAAAGAGTAAAAAAATATAAACACAATGATGGCACTATTGATGTTGAATCAATGTTTTTGAATGGACAAATAAATTGAAGAGAAAAAGCAACTAGAGAAACAGCAACTAGTTCATAGAAGATATCATGGTCAATATCCCATTGGATATTAAGTCCCTTTTGGATCCCTTTAGACCTGTGGGTGGTATAATGTTAGGGCAGCCATGTGTCACAGCGAATAGAGCACTGGGCCTGAAGTCAGTAAGATTCATCTTCTGAGTTCAAATTTGGCCTCAAACACTACTAGCTGTATGACCCTGGGCAAGTCAACCCTGTTTGTTTCAGTTTCCTCATCTGTAAAATAAGCTGGAGAAGGAATGGCAAACCACTTCAGTCTCTTTGCCAAGAAAATCTCAAATGGGATCATGAAGAGTCGGATACGACTGAAGAACAACAGCTATAATGTTAAATATAGCTAAGAAGAAAATGACAAGGAGACCAAGCTAGTAAGTGTTATGTGTCTGAGGCCAGATTTGAACTCAGGTCCTCCTGACTTCAGGGCCAGTGTTCTATTCACTGCGCTACCTAGCTGCCCCCATGTATAAATGCAATTGAGATGAAATATGGAAAGTATTGGTTTCAACTTTTTCTATATGGATTAGTCCTACATTTTCTTCTTTGGAAATATGTATGGAATGTGAATCATTTGGGGAACACGGACAAAGTGGCAGGTCAAATGTTAAGCAGAACATGCCATTCTGAGTAACATATTCTTTTTTTGGGAGGTCCAGCTTGTTACCATAGTGATTCAGATATTAAAGTTTCACTTATCTGAAGTAACAAAAGTAACCATATTAAGGCCTCCTCCTACACCTACACCTACACCCACACCCACACAACAAACACACATACATACACAATCACACAAACCTTCCTTAAACCAACAAGTGTTTTAAATGGCTAGGATCCCCCTTACATTGACATGATCACAGATTAAGAGTTGGAAGGGGCCACAGACATCTAGTCTCTCTAAACCCTGTGATTTTATGGGTAAGGAAACTGGGAACCAGAAAGGGTAGGTAAGTGATTTGCCTAGGTTCACAGAGAAAGATTTGAGATTTAAACTTAGGCCCTCTGACCCTAAACCAGAGCTCTTTTTCACAATGCCATGCTTATTAGTTCTAGGATTCTTACTTTTTACAGAATAACTCATAAGTTTATGATGCTGGTGGCATCTACATTATAACAGAAACCACATCTTAGGGATATGTCACAATATATTTGGCCTATATAACGCAAAAAGAGCCTTGGCCCTGCTCCTGAGTTTTTCTAGATCTACGGGGTAAAGTTTCAGGGAACAACGACCTGAGTGGAGGGCTTCCCTGACCTACTTTTCAGTGGACCATCTCCAACAGATCATAATAACTCTCCTGTGGGAGTTTCCTTCTTCTCTTTGGGATGCCACGGCATCTTTCAATCAGTGTTTCTTAACTATTTTTCCTTCTCACAACTGAGATAACTAAAGGACAATAGCTGTATATGTAAGAGAAGAATGGGCTTGAATCAGGGCCCCAGTATTTATGTTTGGTGACTATGGGCATGTCACTTAAATTTCGAGACTCAATTTCTTCATCTGTAAAATAATGATACTTTTATTATCCGACAGGGTTGTTGTGGGAAAAGTGCTTTGTATAATTTAAAAGTGCTATATGTTATTATATCCTGAATATTAGGTATAGCATTTAGGTTTTTTTTTTAGTTTTTAGTTTAATTTTAGTTTTTTTTTTAAATGGCATGAGTTCTAAAGCTGATTTAAATAGTTTTAAAACCGTATTATTTTCATTTTTAAAAACCATTTGGTTGAATTTTCAGTGGTTTGCAATGGCCATCCATTTCAGAAATAATGGAAAAGTTTATAGTTAGCAAATACTTATTAAACATTCTCCTCCAAACTGCTGAGTGAAGCTATGAACTAACTGGTACAGCCATTCTGGCAAATAACTTGGAACTATGCCCCCAAAGTCGTTAACCCGTCCAAATCTTTGGACTCGGTACAGTAGCTATACTACTACCAGGTCTGTCCCTCAAAGAGATCCAAGAAAGAGAAGAGGATCCACATGTACAAAAGCTACAGGAGTCCCCATCAACTGGAGAATGGTAAACAAATTTCTGTGTATGAATGCAATGTAATACTATCGTGCGATAAGATGAAGAGATGGTCTTAAAATTATTTATTTATTTTTAACGTTCATTTAAAAAATTTTTGAGTTCTAAATATTGTCTCTCTTTAGCTTCTGCCCCACCTACTGGGATGGTAAGCAATATGGTACCCGTTATACATGTGAAGTCATATAAAACATATTTCTATATTAGTCATATTGCAAAAAACAAACAAACAAACAAAAAACCCCAAGAAAAATGAAGAAAGTGAAAAACAGTATGCCTCAATCGAACTCAGAGTTCATCAGTCCTCTCTCTGGAGGTGGACAGTATTGCTCATTATGAGTCCTGAATTGTCTTGGACCACTGTATCGATCAAAGTAGTTAAGTTTTTCACAGCTGATCACCCTTACAATATTGTTGTTACTATATACACTATTCTCCTGGTTCTGCTCCCTTCATTTTGCATTAGTTTACATTAAATCTTTCCAGGTTTTTCTGAAATCACCCTGTTTGCCATTTCTTATGGCACTGTAGTATTCCATTACAATCACATACCATGACTTGTTCAGCCACTCCCCAACTGATGGGCATGATGGAATGGTTTCAGTGAAACCTGGTAAGTCTTGTATGAGCTGATGAAGAGTGAACAGAAAAAGGAGGACAATTTATCCAATAACAACAATACTGTAAAAATAAACAACTCTGAAAGACTTAAGAATTCTGATCAATGCAGTGACCAATCCTGATTCTAGAAGCCTGAGGAGGAAGCTTGCTACTTATCTCTTGACAAAGAAGTGATGCACTTAGAGTACAGAATGAGAGACACGTATGTGTGTGTGTGTGTGTGTGTGTGTGTGTGTGTATTTTGAATATGGTCAATGTAGGAATTTGTTTTGCTTGACTATGCATATTTGTTAACAAAAGTCTCATTTTTTCTTTTCAATAGAGGGGCAGTTGTGAGAGAGAAAATTAATTTGTTAATTAAAAAAAAATTAACTAAAAACCAAAAAACTAAACAACACTGTCTCCCAGTGAGATATTCTAGGCATTGAAGAGAACATATAAATGGAAAAGTCAGCTAAGAAGTGCAGTGGATAGGGTGATGAAATTGGAGTCACGATTGACATGAATTCAAATCCAGGCTCAGACACTTAATAGATATGTGACCCTGGACAAGACACTTAACTTCTCTCAGCCTCAGGTTCCTCATCTGTAAAGAGGGGATAAAAATAGTCCCAATCTCATGGGGTTGTTGTAAGGATCACATGAGATAATATTTGCAAAGCTCTTTGTAAAACTCAGAGTGCCATATTTATGTTGCTATTATCATCATTCTTAATCCTTTCTCTCCTGGAGCCTGTATTTTAGTCAAGGATATCACATAATTTTAATTTGTACATGTATTATACATTATGTTGCTTGTGCTTGATTTACATTCAACTCTTTCGTGAAATGCTCCAAACTGCATCATATACATTAAAAGGTTAATTTTTAAGTCAGTCATGTTCAAGCATTTCAAATATTCTCTCACATATTTCATGTTGCATGGAAGCAAGATATCCTCCAGACACAATCTGAATGATCATGGGAATAATCATTAGCCTTGCAGCGGGTTGACAAAATGTAGTCCAGTGGTGTAAACTCCTTCCTCTTGGAGGCAATGGAACAGTTTCATACCTAAAGAAAAAAAGCTGATCAGTTTCCTGCAAACATATATGACCAATAGCTTGTCAAAACAGCAACTCTTACCATGTAGCTTACGTAAATGTGTCATGTAAGTTAAAATCAATAATTTATAATACAAAAATATTTTCCTTTGATTAAAGGTGACATAATTGGCTGTGAGAGAATGAAGGCAGATAAGAAAACAAACAAACAAAAAAGTGAGAGACTTACTTGACTGCCAGACGCCCATTTTTTAAAAAGGCCAAAGCAGAGGGATGAAAGATACCACATAACACAGAAACACAGGCACCTCTCAAAATACTCATGTCTGCGGTTAAATCACCTGGAATATAGCAGTGTCTGCGTCAGCAAAGTCATGTGCAATGAATTTTAGGTACCTGTACAGAGATGTCTCCATCTTCCACTCCTCTATTAACTCTACAGCTGAGGTTAAGTAAACACCCTACAGGCATGACCACCCTTCTGGGAAGCTTCATTAGGCTGCTATATGCTGCCACCATGACAGGAATAGCCCAGGGCTAAATGTCCAAGGCAAGGCAGGACTGAAAAGAAAAGCTGAGTTCACACAAAGATACACTGGGCATGATGAGGTACAGCCTGATGATGGAGTGTGAGCGTAGGCAAGTACGAGAAGGGACAGGAGCTCATGGAATAGGGCACACATTTCTATCACAGGGCAGCTGCAGAACTGCATTCCTGCTAACATATAAAAGGCTCCCTGGACCAAAAAGGGTTCTTTTTTCCTTCCTTAGACCTCCCAAGTCTCAATTCTAGTGCACATTGTCCTCTAGTCATACTTCAACTTCCTTACCATATAAAATGTCCACGATTACATGAAATTCAGGGTTTTTGCCAGTCACTTATGTAATTTGGAGAAGCCTTACATATTAGCTGACCAACAGACTCTGAGACTGATAAAAATTCAAAGGCTCAGGTACAGGGATAGATAGGTATAACTGTCTATCTATCTATCTATCTATCTATCTATCTATCTATCTATCTATCTATCTATCTATCTATCCATCCATCCATCCATCTATCCATCCATCCATCCATCCATCTATCCTTCCATCCATCCATCTATGGTATTTCAAAAATCTAAGTGTCGTTTTAAGCTTTAATAGCTATTTAAAGATACTTTGGTATAAATGGCTTGGGTGTATAGAATTTTGGCATTCCACTTACACATCTTTGTTTGAGATAGTAGCTCTCAAATTAAGCATTCCTAAATGAATACTCACCAGAACTTAAGGGATCTGTTACAAGGAACTTATAAGTTACTTCAGTGGTCAAAAATGGAATTGCAGACAATGGCACAAATGTTTTAAAAGGATGCTGTTTAACCTTCATATAACGCCTGAAAAAGTAGTTTGCTAAGAATCCACTTAAAGATGAATTTGTCGCCAAAAACAGTGGTCCATAAGTATATGTGATCCTGCCAAGAAAAGTAAAGAGAAGGAACAAAAGTAAGTCAAGAACAGCACATTTTTTTTCTCCAATAGTCATTTTAGATCACACACAAAGGAGAGATCTTATTTAATTGCTAATAATGATAATTCTTGATTTGTCTTTTTCAAAAGTGACAGATAAGACTCATCATAGGTGAAATGTATGAGGCCCCTAAGCACATCAAAAAATGTTATCGTGGAGGCAGCTAGGTAGTACAGTGGATAGAGCACCAGCCCTGAAGTAAAAAAAAAACCCAAAACAACTCCCCCCCCCAATGTTATCATCACTGTAATTAGTTTCCCAACATCTAAAAAAGAGTTTTTCGACCTACACAGCCTTGAGCAAAGTCATAACTGCTTCCTTTGAAAAAGTTTTATGCCTGCCTTTCTGCTCCTCATATGTAAGACTCCATCTTCGTGCATTTTCACTGGGTGTTCCCTAATCCTGGAATGATATCCTTTCTCATCTGTTTTCCGTGTTCCCTACTACCTTTCAAGTCTCAGCTAAAATCCTATCTTCTGCAAAAAGCCTTTTCTAGTCCCCCTTAATTTACCCTGCATATATCTTATTCATACATAGATTCTTACATGTTACCTATGCCATTAGATTGTGAGCTCCTTGAGAATAGAGGCTGTTTTTGTCTTTCTTTATAACCCAGGGCTTAGCAGAGTACCTGGTACATAATTGGAGCTTAATAAATGTTGTTGACTTGTTGCTGATTTGTTTTAATACTAGTAATTTCCCTTACGTTACTAGCCTTATAGAACCTTTTATTGCTTAACAGTTTTGACAGGCTTTGACAATTTTGCTTACTGAAAGAAAGAGAAAACCAAACTTAATATATATGAAACTTAATATACGAAGAGCTGACTGCAGAGCCAGTGTGCTTACTCAGGGCAAGTGCTCATCTACATATAATCAACAGAAGAACTTGGGAGTGAATAAATGGGAAATCCTGAATTCCAGAACTGTTTTGTGATTACTGAACAAATAATTCCTGGTTATGACTTACCTGAGAGAAATGGAGATTTAGTAAATATGATGCTAATCACCCTAAACTAAAGTGAGGTTTCTACTTGGGAAGGCCCAGTTGCTTACGAGGAAGGGCTCCATCTGTGAGCCCACAGTGGTGGCAGGGATGCTGCACCCCTTGGCACTGCCTAGGATGGGGAAACCCTTCAGAACCCAGTCAAAAGAGAAAAAAAAATGAAGAAGTTACTTAAAATTACAATATTCATAGTTCTTTCCTCTCTGAGAGGAAGAGGGGTGTTTTCTTTAATTCTCAAAGACTGAGATTGTTCATTATAATCATTATAATTCATCATAGTTCAACTGCTTTTAAGTGTAGTGTTTTAGTATCTTAGTTTTGCTTTCTTCTGTTTGCTTAAAGCTTTTTTTAAAAAAGCTTTTACAAATGGATATTTACTGAGAAAGTTTAGCAAGGACAAAGTTACAAAAATATCCCCTGAATCCTAATCACTGCCTCTTGATTAGTCCAGACACACTGAAGAAAATGTGGTCCATGGCTGCCTAACTAGATAAATCAGACAAACGTATCGTTCTATTTCATTTACTCCTAAAAGTACTGGAGAAGATAAAGCACAAAAACTACCTATTTCAAAATTCTGCCACATCCCCATTCCAGTCTCAGCAAGGACACAGGACCAGCTGTTATACAGAACTTTGAAGCTATCCTAGAGTTTCATTAGGCTAGGAAATGAAACTGTCAGTGGGGAATTGGTGACTGAAGACTTTTCCTATGGAGTTCAAGGTCATTCAAAAAAGATTTTTAAGCACCTACCAAATTCAAAGCCTGATGCCACAAAGGATGACTAAAACGCGGACTTAATGGTTCCAGGCTCTCTGACTAGGATGACCATTTCCATTTTAGCAGAACTTATGGATGTTCCTGATTCCCCACCCCCCCCCCTCCCCACCATGAGCCTAGTCTTTGCAATTCCCCCAGGAATTGTTATCTTCTTCCCATTAGAATTTAAGGTCCTTAAGGGCAGGGACCATTTTGTTTGCTTTTATACCAAGCATACTCAAAACACTTAGCACAGCATCAGGAACGCAGTAGGTTTTTAACTGTTATTTGGGAGAAAAAAATGCAGCTAGTTAGTACAGTGGATAGAGCCCTGGACCTTAATTAATTCAGGAAGATTCGAGTTCAAATAAGACCTCAGACACCCTCTAGCTCTGTGACACTAGGCAAGCCACTTAACCTCAGCTTGCCTCAGTTTCCCCATCTATACCTACCTCTTATAGTTGTTGTGAGGATAAATGAGTTAATATTGTGGAAAGCTTTCAAACCTTGAAGTGCTATAAAATCCTAGCTATTATTATTGCATAACACAAAATATATGCTATTAGTAGTATATGCCTTCTTGGTGGTACTCAGTTCTGAGTAGGTAAAGAAGCCTGAGCTGGTTTAATTCCAATTAAGAGGCAGCATGGTGGAGTTGAGAGAACGCTGGATTTGGAGTGAGAGATATCAGGTCTGCATATCAGTTCTGCTTCTCAGGTCTTACCTGAAATGTGTTGCTTCCCCTCAGAAAATCTCTAAGGTCCTTCGTGAAGCTAAAACTTATGAACTAATGTAATTGAAAGAGGGGATTAGAGAAATGAACTCTTTGTGTATTTATCTTTCTCCACAACCTATGCCTCTTATTTTTCCTGGGCCACATCAAATGGTTAAGAAAGTTCTTCCTCTATTTTCAGAAGCAAAAAAATTGGCAAGTGCTACAAATCAAATCAATGCCCACAGATTATGCGGGGAGGGGGAATTCCACAGGCAATGATCTCTTACTGTTCTGTTTTGGAGAGACGCCACAAATTTTTTTTCACAAGGTCACTAGTTCTTAATCTTCCGAGTTTTATTTCTTCTGGAGAAGGATCTGACTGAACATATGTATGAGTTGCCATCCTGTAGCCCTGAAAGACACAGAACCATAGAAGTAGAATATCTTATGGGAACAAAGGCAGAACGAGTTTCCCTCATTGTCCAGTCTAGCTCTAAGTCCATTTAAAACTCAGATGGATGACAGCATACTGGTATGGGGCAAAACGAGATAATGAGACCAGGAAACATTCTTGGTGTGCGCCAAAAAACTGGATATAAAAATGAAAGCAACAGAAAAGTTATCATTAGAAAACTGTATCAAGTAGTTTCTGATGCTCCTTTTCTCATAAATAAGTTTTTGATGACTTCTACTAATAGGTTCTGTAGTCCAGATGAGGTTCTATGGCAAAAGAGACGATTTAGAAAGCAGCTCATATAGCAAGCACGAAAGGAAGGAGGAACCAGGCATGATAAAGACGGCAATACTTTACAGCTTAGTGTCAAGTAAACTATATGCCAACTTTTAAAAGGTCGAGGACAAGAAAAGTTGGGAGCATACTTTATTTTTAAAAATAAATTTTTATTGATATCTTTTGTCAAAAAGACTCCCAATATCTCTCTTCCTTCCCTTCCCAGAGAGTTATCCCAGACAACAAATAATATTTTTAAAGGATTAAAACATTAAGGAAACATTAAGGAACATTAAAACATCAAGGAAACATTAAAAAAGAAAGGAAAAGAAAAAAATCAACAAAACCAATCAATACAATGAAAAAGCCTGAAAACATAAGCAAAGTTCCACAAACTGTGGACCTCATACTTCTTCAAAGGAGTAGGGTGGAGGTGTTATCTATTATCTCTTCTTTGGGGCCATGTATATTCTTAGTAATTTTGTAGCTTTCACTTTTGATTGTTTCCTGGTGGTTGTCTATTTATCCCATTGTCTTCATTGGGTATATTGTTTGTTTGTTTGTTTTCTCCAATCTGTTTTCAGTTCATTTAAATCTTTCCATGCTTTTCTGTAGTCATCATATTTGTGAATTCTTAAGACACAGTAATATTCCATGACATTCCTGTATCAAAATTTATTTAGCCACTCCCCAATGGATGGGTACCCATTTTGTTTCCAGTTCTTTGTCAACACCAAAAACTAATATTTTGGTGTATATAGGGACTTTTTTCTTATCAATGACCTCCTGGGTGATGTGCCTATTTCTGGGCTTAAGGGATTAAGTCACTTTCTTTGCTTAAGCACCTCCCCAGACTGTTTCTAGCCCAGACCTTACAACCATCATCCAGGGAAACAACTACTGTGGAAAAGGAGCCAGCTATCCAATTGCCACACACAGGGCACACAACAAGCCTACCTGAATCAGCAATGCACTCCTTCAATGTATCCTGAAGAAGAGAGGAGGCAACAAGTCAAATCCCCACCCCCACCCCTTGTATCATCATTTTTTCTCAGGGACTGATGGAGACAGCCCAGGACCCAAAACCTAAGAAGCCTGGCACTTGCAGCACTTCCAGCCCAGTGGCCTCAGCCATCATCCTGGGAAGTAGCCCTTGCGAGATGCAGCCAGGCCACTGATCCTGCAGTGACTACAGACCCCGCTACTGAAGACCCAGAAAAGAAAGGTGTGGCCACCAAAGTCCTTGGCACTGTCAAACAGTTTAACATCAGAAACTGATAGGATTTGAGCACCAGAAATGACATTAATTCCAAACTGCTTTCCAAACTCACAGTACTCATTTACAACTCCACCAATTGTACACGAGTGCCTATCCTCTCACACTCCCCCAACACTACTCCCATCTTTTGTCATCTTTGCCAATTTGCTCTATGTAAGGTGAAACCTCTGGGGGGTTTTGATTTGCATTTCATTTATTAAAGATTGCATTCTTTCACATTGTTGCCTGTAACTCTTCTTTTGAGAACTATTCATATCTTTTGACCTTTACCTATTGGGGAATGGCTTTCTGGCACATATATGTGTGTAAAGATGGATGGAATAAGCATTGTTAAGTGTCTACTCTGCTTGGCACTGTGCTAATCTCTTTACAAGTATTTGACTCCCACAACAACTCTGTGAGGCTACGCTATTATTATCATCCCCATTTTAGATTTGAGGAAACTGAGGTAGACAGCAGTTAAGTGACTTGCCCAGGGTACCTAGCTAGTAAGTGACTAAGGTTAACATCTGAACTCAGGTCTTCCTGACTTTAGGTCCAGTGCTCTATCCACTGAGCTACCCAGTTGCATATGTGTGTATCTATATCTATCAGATGCCTATATATCTTAGATACCAGAGAAATTTTATCCAAAATTTTGACTGCTTCCCTTCTTATGCAAAATCCATTAAATTTGTGCCCAAGTTTTTCAGTTTCATGTAATTAAGGTTATCTCTTATCTTTTGTAATTGCCTATATCCTTTGTTTGGTTAAGAAAATAGCTGTAAAAGATATATGATCTATTTCTCTTCTAATTTTTTATGGTATCTTTAATATTCATTCCAAGAATCTATTTTGAATTTATTGTGGAAAATGTTTAAGATGTTGGTCTAAGCCTCATATCTTTCAGACTGTTTTCTAGTTTTCCCAGCAGTTTTTATCAAACAGGGAGCTCTTTCTTAATCTATGTTTTCAGGTTTATTGAATACTGGGGTTGCTGAGTTCTTTTATCCCTGGTTTTCTCACTGTTCTACTGATCAATTTTTTTTTAAAAAGTGCGCAATGGTTTTGCTGGCTGCGGCTTTACAATACAGTTCAAAGTCTAGAAGTGCTATTTCCCTTTTATTCCTACCTTTTAAAAATGATATTCTTTGACATTCTAGACTTTTGTTTCTCCAAATGGATTCTATTATTATTTTGCTAAGTTCTACAAAATATCCACTTGATAGTTTGATTGGCATAGGATTAAAATTGTAAATTAACTTTGGTCACATTGCCATTTTTATTATATTGGCATGACCTAGCCATGAGCACTGAATATTCTTCCAGCTCTTTATTTCTTTTGTATTGAATTTTATATTGAATTATATATAAGTATTTTGTGTATTTTATAGAGTGATCCCTTAATATTTTTGCAGTTTGTAGTTATTTCGAATAGTATCTCCCTTTCTGTTATGGCCCCTTGGATTTTATTATTATATAAAATTCTGTTAATTTCTTTTTTTTTGTGGGGGAGGGAGAAGAGGGGTTACTTTAAATTCCACCTGATTGCCTTGACTGTCAGATAGGGAATAGTCTGCAGCTGAAAGAGTTTGGAAAAAGAAACAGACAACCTACGAAAAAAAAAGTGAGGTGAAGATAATGGTAGAGCAGAGTTTTGATAAAGGCCATGGACCTAAAATGGGAAACCAGAAAGGTATTACATATATATAAATATATTTTAAATCAAAGGATGTCTATATGTAGAAAAAGAAATTGGACTTGAGAGTAAGGACATAAAAAGATTCTGAAGAGCCTGCAGGAAATAGAACTAGGACAATGCTGGTGTGTCATGTGCAGTGTCTTATATAAGAAAGTGCTGGTTAAAGGCAATACAATGTTCATAGGCAAGAAAGAGCACTTAGCCAAGAGAAGGCTCTGGGGAGGTTACATAGTAATCCTTGGTTTTAGAAGGTTTGCTAGCAAAAGACGAGGATCTAGTTAGCCTCAGTGCAGGTGCCCCAATACCCTAACAAGTCTTTCCTAGTCTCCCATAATTGCTACTGTTCTCTATCAAATTACCCTGAATTTATCTGTGCACAGGTTATATCCTCTTAGAAGGATGTAACCTTGAGGGTAAGCACTATTGTGTTTTTTTAAACTTTGTATCTTCAGGGCCTAGAACATGCTAATAAATTTTGTTGCAATTAATTATTGAAGATTAGGGTGGGGACATAAAGAAGGAGTTTATGATGCCTTTGTTTTTTGGACCAGTCCTAAAATTTCATTCCTACAGGGAGCTCCAGGTAAGTAACTTCCTCTATCAAAGCAGATCCAAGCTAGACTCCTGGGGCACTGAAACGTTAAGTGACTTTTGTCCTGGGTCCCACAGCCAGTGGGCAGTACTAGGACACAGATCTTTTTGACTCCAGGAAAACTCCCTGTCCACTACATCAAACTGCCTCTCATGATGTCTTTCTGAGGTCTTAATGAAAAGGGGAAAGGGAATTGTTATTTTAAAGATTAATTCCCTCTGAGACCAAAATAAAAATACTAAAGCCTATAACTAGACTTCAACGTTCTGGAGAGAATTTGGTGAAAGAACAAAACATAGTCTAGAAAAGAAGGGTGAGGGAAATGAAGCAGGTAAGGGAGAATAAATGAAAATTTGAGTATTGAGTTTATAAGGAGTTGGAATGAGATGTTAAGTAGAAAGTGTTTTGTTTTTGTTTGGTGATGGTAGACTAATTGTAAATGCACATAATATGTAAATAGTTATTATAATTAAACTATGAAGTTTGAGAGAATGAACCTGAGGATCATCCTGGCGTTGTGGAAACAATAAATAAGAGCTTATATATATATATATATATTTTTCTTCAAAGTACCTTACATACATTTATCTATTTAATCCCAACAATAGCACAACATGAAAGATAGCATGAAAGAAAGACAGTACAGTAAATGGGGGGAAAAAACTGAACCTACTGCATTTTGAACTAAAAGACCTGAGTTGTTATTCTAGTGCAGGGGTGGGGAACTTGCAGCCTCGAGGCCACATGTGACCCTCTAGTCCCTCAACTGCAGTCCTTTGACTGAATCCAAGTTCTAGTGCTTCTATTTAACTCCTTTATATAAACATCTTACTATGTCACTATCTCCCCCAGCCTTAAAAAACCCTCACTTCATCCAACCCTCCCCAGCAGCTATCATCTTATTCTCTTCTTGCTTTTCTGGCTAAATTCTTTTTTCCCCCCTTTTAAATATTTATTTATTTTTAGTTTTCAACATTCACTTTTATAAGATTTTGAGTTTTAAATTTTCTCCCCTTTCCCCTCCTTCCTCTCTAAGATGACATGTAATCTGATATAGGCTATAGATATACAATCATATTCAACCTTTTTCCACATTAGTCACATTGTAAAGAAGAATTAGAACCAAAGGGAAAAACCACAAGAAAGAAAAAAAAAGGAAAAACAGTATGCTTCGATCTGCATTCAAACTCCATAGTTCTTTCTCTGGATGCAGATAGCATCTTCCATTATGAGTCTTTTGGAATTGTCTTAGATCATTGCATTGCTGAGAACAGCTAAGTCTTTCAAAGTTAGTCATTGCACAATGTTGCTGTTACTGTAAACAGTGTTTTCCTGGCTTTGCTCACTTCACTCAGCATCAATTCATATAAGTTTTTCCAGGTTTTTCTGAAGTCCACCTGCTCATAATTTTTTATGGAACAATAGTATTCTATTACATTCTTATACTACAACTTATTCAGCCATTCCTCAATTGATGGGCATTCCCTCAATTTCAATTCTTGGTTGTGGCTAAATTCTTTGAGAAGACTATCTACAATCAATGCCTCCAATTCATTTACTCTCACTCTCTTAACTCTGTAGCTTGACTTCCAACCTTATCATTCAACTGAAATAACTGGCATCAGAGGTACTAGTGACCTCTTAATTACTCAATCTAATGGCCTTTTCTTAATCCTCATCTTTCTTAACCTCTTTGCAGCCTGATATTGTAGATCACCTTCTTCTCCCAGATAACCTTTTCTGTCTAGGTTTCCATGACACTTTTCTCCTGGTTCTCCTCCTACCTGTCTAGCTGCTCCTTCTCCAACTCCTTTGCTGGATCTTCATTCAGATCACACCCACTAACCGTGAGTATCCTTCAAGGCTCTATTCCAGGCCCTTTTCTCCTTTCCCTCTACACTGTTTTGCTCAGGGAATCTCATTAGATCCTATAGATTTAATGATCATTTCTATGCATATAATTTTCAGATCCATTTATCCAGCCCAAAACTTTCTCCTGACCTTCATTTTTTTTTAAATTTTTAGGCAGTTGGGGTTAAGTGACTTGCCCAGGGTCACACAGCTAGTAAGTGTTAAGTATTTGGTCTGACGTCGGGATTTGGACTCAGGTCCTCCTGACTTCAGGGCCAGTGCTCTATCCACTGCCACACCCAGCTGCCCCATCTCCTGACCTTCAGTCTCACATCTTCTGGACACCTCAAGGTAAATATCCTGTAGATATCTAAAACTCAACATGTCCTAAACAGAACTGACTTCTCTTTCTCCCAAACCTTCGCCTCTTCAGAACTTTCCTGTTACTGTCAAGGGCACCACCATCCTCCCAGTCACCCAGGCTCTAAACCTATATATCATCCTTGATTTCTCACTTTCTCTTATCCTTCCGTATCCAATTTGTTGTTAAGTCCTGTTGATTCTACCTTTAACATCTCACATCTCACCTTTGACAGTCAACTCTCTGGTACAGGCCTTTATCTTTTCATACCTTGAACTACTGAAAGTCAGTCAATAGACATTTACTAACTATCAGGCATGTTCTAAGCAAAAGAGATACAGAAAAAAAAATGCCTTTGAGGATCTCACAGTCTAATGGAAGGATACAACATGAAAATAACCATGTACAAACAAACTTTGTACAGGATAAACAGGGAATAATAAACAGAGGGAAGGCAGTAGAACTAAAAATGTGTGGGACCTTACTTTTTTTGGGGGAGGGGTGTTGGGGGGGAGGTTGTGTTACTGGGGCTATAATATACACTATGTAGATCAAAGTGCTTTGTGGTTTAATAAGATGATGTATTATCTTCATTTTACAGAGGATCTTTCTTTTCTTCCTTCTTTTTTCCCCATCCACATAGGATATCACACCCTTACCCATGTGTGTGCTCTGGCCAAAGGGAATGTAAATTTTAATCTCTGAAACTTTTTTCCCTCTTGAAGACCAACCTTAACCCCAAATCACTCTGGCTGTTATTGAGTGGCCAACAATAGGTTCCAGGCCAAGCCCTACTAGGTCATTGGGCCCTGATTGGCTCAGAATGAACACAAACAGCAATTGTGTCTGTTTTGGCCAGAAACCCTGAGGGTCTTCCCTTTCCAGATCTATTCTTTTTTTAAGAGGCCATTCTTTACCGTGTTTCTTACTAAGCCTTAATCACTGAATGGGCATTGCCTCAGTCAGTCAAACTGAGACCTGTTAAAGATCTTGGCTAGAAAAGGCTAAGGTCCTCACTGCATCCAGGGCAATCTCCAGTTGTCCTGATCCTACTTCATGGCCACTGGACGCAGAAGGTTCCAGAGTAGAAAGTGTGTCTGGTGACTTTGCATAGCCCTCCCTCACTTAAATCCAATTCACTTGCATGTCATGGCATCACCTCCCTGAAGTCATGGTCCTCTTCAAGAAAGAAAGACAAATAACAGCAACACAGGATGAAACTGAAGCTCAGAGAAGCAGCTTGCCAACTGAGTACAAGATCAGGATTTGAACATAGATCTTCTGACTACAAATCTAGAAGACTTTCTATTACACCAGACTTGCTCGAATTTATCAGCTAGACAAGAGAATCACAGTCTCAGAGTTAGAATCAATTTTTTTTTAATTCAATTTTATTTCCCCAACTTTTATCAGAACAACAAACATTTATATTGTGCATACTGCCTTGCCAGGCTCCAGGTGCTAAGCACTTTACAAATATTATCTTATTTGGTCTCATAACAACGGGGGAGGGGGGGTAGGTGCTATTATTATTATTCCCTCCCATCTTTTTTTTATTTTCCAACAGATAACTGAGGTAACAGAGGTTAAATGACTCGCCCAGAGTCACAAAGCTAGGAAATGTCTGAAGTTGGGATTTGAACTTGTTCCTGACTCCAGGCCTAACTGCTCCTTTCTAAAATACAATCCCTTCTACCACTTCTTCGACAAGTGGTCACCCAGTTGGCTCACAGAACACCACGGAGCAGCTATATGGGCTGTGAACAGAGAGCCCAGGGCTTGCAGTCAGGGAGATGAGTTCAAATCCTTCCTTAAGACACTCATAGGCAGTTTGTCCCTTGATATGTCACTTTACTTCTCTGGAACTCGGTTTTCTCATCTGTAAAATGAGATTGGGCTCAATAACCTCTAAGATTCTTCCAACTCTACCTTTATGATACTATGATTAGGAATGGAGAATTTTGGAAAGCAGCTTATCAAACGTGTTTTTAAAAAGCAGCAGCCTGTCACGTGCTCTGCATTGGTCCCCAGTGTGACCGTGCTGAAAACAAACCCTCTCTGGGCCTCGATTTCCTCCACAAATAAGGATGCGTCCGCACCTCCCACCTCGCAGCTAGTGCTCGGAGGGCTCGATCAGGCTTAAGGCTTGACCCTTCACAACTACGGCCCTCGACCCCGCCCCAGCTCGCCCGCATACAGCCCACGCCAATACCTCGCGTGCGTCTCCACGCGCTGCGACCACGGCCGCCCGCTCACTGATTCTCCCGGTGCTCACGCCTGGGAGCCGCCATCTTGGGCGCTCACATGACCTATGGTAATCCAGGTCCCGCGAGCTCTTGCCCCAGGCCCCGCCCCCTAGTCCCAGCCCCCAGCACGAGGGGGAGGGAGGCCCGCTCACTATGGTCAAAAGCCGCGCCCTCTCTTCGGATTCCGATTGGCCTCCGCTGCCCTGGAACCGCAGCCGTTCATTGGTTTGTGGGAGAAGCCGGGCGGGTCGCTCCCGACCACTTTGCGTTGGCCAGGCAACCACTCCGCACTCTTCCCCCTCCCTTTTTCGGGATGAACCTTCCCCCTCTCCCTCCACCCACTCCTGCCTTTAGGCCTGGGTACCCCTAGGCTTCTGTAGACCCGAGCAGACTCTGGGTTCCACGTCTCCCAAACCCTGGTACAGGAGCCACATCTCGAACCATCCTTTGTCGGCTTCGCCCCGCACCCCTACCTGCTGTCCCCCTCACCCTCCAGCAAAGGAAGTGACTTGGTGAGGGGCGACGACAGACAGACCCCTGCCCATCTGAGAGGCTCGCCTATCCCCTCACCCCGCGCCGTGTTTGCTCTTCGCCCGGGTGGGGGACGCCCGGGGCGTAGTCGTGCACCCCCCACTGACCCCCGCCCCAGGCATCCTAGCCAACATAGCCCCAGCCGAACCCGCACCTCCTTCCATCTTCCAGGAGCCCCTAACGCGAGTTATATAATTGCTTCTCCTCCAGCACCAAGGCTGTGCCACCTCTCCTACAAGACAGGAGTGTGGGCCCCCGGGGCTTGGGCATAGTGTGTGTATGTGGCGGAGAAACAGCCCCCCAAAAGACTTCTCCCCCTTTCTGCCAGAGGCGACAGTGCGGGTAGGGCTGGGGGTGGGGGCAGAGGAAGGGTGGATGGTGAGGCCAAGCTGCTGAGCCCTTTCTTTGGGGGAAGAGAGCGGACCCGATTGCATGGCTCGTGCTTCCCAGGCTAACGCTACCGCATCTCCAAGGCTACCCCTGGGGAAGGTTTGGGCTTGTGGTTTTTGTCCTTTGGAAAAAGGGGGTTTTGTGTTTTTCCTCACCGGTCAGGCAGCTGCTTGGGTGAGACGAGATGGCATGATGTGAATGGCTCCAGTGTGAAGAAGGCTGCTCCGCCACCTCATACTGCACCCAGTGCCCATTGAGTAGCGCTGTCACTTTAATGACTTCATGCCAAAGCAGCGCTTTCCTTCTCCCTCGGTTAATACATGGCAGGATCAGAGTGGCATTAGAGAACAAGCCTGGGTGGCTTGGACAGCAGAAAAGGGGAAGAAATGAAAGGGACTGCAACCTGGATGCTGTCTGATTTGAGGGAGTGAGATTGGAAACTTCTTGTCCAGTGAATAGAAACCGGCCTTTCAGTCCCAAGGAACATCTCAAACTCACCCACCTTTGCAGAAACCAGAGGCAAAGAACTTTGCTTTAAAAAAAAAGTTGTTTTCTTTTTGGCTTGTTTGCTTTTTCCTGAAAATTTCTCCTGTCTAGAACTGGGCGTCTTTTATCATCAAATTTGGATGGCTTTGAAGTTGATTTTGTAGAGTAGTGAGAGTTGTTTAAATTTGGGTTGTGCCTTGAGTCATTAAACTTACACCAAATTTGCTGCCTGAAGAGGAATTCTAATAGTGTTTTCTATACCAACAATAATGTTCTCAGTTTTTTTTATAAATTAAGAAATATTTTATAAGAATTGAAAGACACTTTTGTGAAACTCCAATCTTTTTTCCTCTAAATTCTGTGGGAGGTGTTAAAAGTTAATTGTGGAAAAAATATTCAACATTACTTCCTATCTTGGTGAAAATGAAGACTGAACTTGGATTTCAAGGCTGAGCAGAAGTACTTTGCAACAGCCACCTGACTCTTGGCTTTAGTCCAGTTGGATACAGTTGATACCTGTAAACAAATCCTTGAATCCAGTGACTGCTGAGAGATCCAAGAATGCCAGTCAAGAAGAAAGGTGGGCTATGAAGCTTCCTATCTAATATTTGTATCTCCTTTTTGTTTGGTTCTGGTACTTGCCATTTAAATTATTTTGCATTTGAGAAGGAAACTTGCTACAGTTAGGGCAGATATCCATTATGGTAACACCTGGTTAGTGTCTCACTCTACAATACTGTTACCTAAATGAAGTTGTGCTAAATAAGTATAAGTAGTTAGTTGTGATTTCATCCCTTAGGCAATCTGCCACCATTATTTGTAATAAATAGATTCAATGCCAAAATTTCACTTTTTCTAGCAATGTCTCTAAAGAAGAATTTTAAAAGGTATTACTCATGAATGTAATATAATTAAACCAGTTGTAAACTACAACAGTAATGTTGTATACCTGCGTTGGTACTGAATAAAAAGGTAGATTTGCAGTATATCTCTTGATTTTCTAAGCAAAATGGACAACTTTTACATTTAGGTTCACTCCAGTGTAAATTTTCCATTAAAAAATGTGACTGAGCACATCCTTAGCAGGTGATGAAGGTTTAAGTTGGACTCATCAGTTCCATGCTTAAGGAAGTTTTTAAGTAGGGAATGTCTCATCTTTCATCCCCTAAATTCTAGTCTGATCCTGAATACATGCTGGATTGGGGGTAAGATTTGGTGTTCTACTTCACTGTGGAGCACAGTGCCTGGCACATAGTAAGCACCTAGTAAATGCTTGTTGACTGCCTGCCTAAGAGGGGATTTGAGTTGATGCAGTGTACCTGGAGTTGGGAAGACCTGAGTTCAAATACAGCCTCAGACATTTACTAGCTGTGTGACCTTGGGAAAGTCACCTACCTCCCACAGTTGTGAGGATCAAATGTGACTATTTGTAAAGTGCTTTGCTATGTACATGCTAGCTATTATTATTTTGCTATGATCTGGTCTGTTATAAGTGTGTTTTCAAGAACATACAAGATACATACAACATATAAAAAAGAACTGAACCAAACAATAAATGAACATCCAAGGGCTAAAAGAATCATTCATACTGGTCAACCCGGATACAAATGCAATAAGGTAGGCAAGTCATTTGACTTGATGTATTTTGACATCTATAAAATTATGGTTGAATTCTGGGCCCCAGTTGATTATATGTCCAAGAGGATTGCTCCAGAGGTTCAACCTGGTTCTGTAATCTGCCTTAGTTGAAGGAATATGGGAGAACTAGATAAGTTCTAGAACCTTTTAAAAATAGTCATATTAAGTCTTGGCCCTTTAGCACTGAAAGGCAATATATGCACCCAAGAGATTCCCAGGTTGGACCCTTTCTTATCAGGGTCTTAAATTGGGACATGACTTGAAAGTGGTTCAAACTTGTTAGGATGATAACCAGTAGATTTTAGGTGACCTGTGGGAACCCCACCCATACCCAACATAAATCTAACCCAAACAATGGATTTGTCTGGAAACCAGGCAGGCTTTGGTAATATAATTATCTTTTTTGGATTTTTGAGTCCTACAATAAATTTCCTCTTCTTACTGCTTTGTCTTTCCTTCACCTATAATAGACATGTCCATATTTCCCTGCCCTTAAGAAGTTAGCGACTGTACAAAGAACAGTAGATATTTTTCTTGCATGTTAAGGAGGAGTCAGGGAGAGAAGAGAGTGGCATCAGAGTAGGTACAATGGTCTAGGAACAACAGGTTAGCTTAAAAAATGAGATTAATGTTTAAAAATTACCCAGGTTTTGAGTTTGTGTGAAGTTATTTTATTTTTAAGACCAGACTTATAGATAACTAACAAACATATATGAAAGTTGTTTATATGTCCTAAGAAAGTTCAGTGTTTTAGTTTTTATTTTTCTTTAAACAAATGGGTTGATTCTAACATGGATCATTTTTTTTAGGGGATCAAAAGTTTGTATTAATATACTGTATCAAATATGTATTTGATTATTGCTCAAGGCATAATGGACTATGTACTCTACATTCTGAAATGGCTTATTTGGAGACATTTATTATGTTAATATGTTTTTAAATGTTCATGGTATTGACATACTTTTCAATATTAAAGACTGCTATCCAAACACTACATTGAATCATTGATTCATTGAATCTTGTATTCCAAAGACATCTTAGAGGTCATTTAACCTAATCTCACACTCAAGCTGGAACTCTATTTACAGTATCCTGAAAACATTTCTGTAGTTTGTGTTTAAATGCTTCTAATCCATTCCTTCTTGGACAAGTCTAATTGTTAGATAGTTCTTCCTTTATATTGAACCTAAATCTCCCTCCTTGTAACTTCCATCCAGTGTTTCAGTTCAGCCTTCTGGAGTTACATAGAATATATAGAATCTCTCTCACATATGATAGCATCTTCAAATACATGAAGACCCATCATTTCTCCCCCTAATCTTTTGCTTCAACTAAACATACCCAGTCCTTTCAGCTGTCCATTGTATGTATATTAGATTTTTTTAAAAAAATTGCATTAAATGACTTCACGCAGTGAACTGTATTCCTATTACATGCATATGTATATATTTATAAGCTTTAAATTGTAACCTGAATTAATTAATTTTGAAGGGAGCACTATTCTGGCTTCTTGAATCTTTATTTCCTCTTTGTATTTTGAGCATACGGATAAGCAAGATGAACAGCTGGATTTACTGTAATTCTAAAGAAGAACATCATTAACATCCCTTGAGTTGAATAGCTGTTTATTTCATTTGTTTCTATTCTTATTAAAATGTGAATTAATCATATGAGATATATTTTGGTATTTCATATTTTGTAAATTGCATTCAAAGTGGAGGGGAGTTCTTTGACACCATTATAAGTTTTTAATAGCTCTAGAATCACTTTTGTTTAATATACTATTCTTGGTGTTTCTAGATTTACTGAACCTCATCTCCCTCAGCCCTTCTCTGGTAAACTGCTCTTTCTTCAGAGTCTCAATGCAATTTTGCTACATGTTTTTTCAGATATCTGCTTAAGCAGCAAAGGAAATGCTTGTTTCTATTATAGATTATTCCTTTTCCATTAGAATAGGTTTTGAAAAAATATTCATATTTTTGGGATAACCTGATTTACTGCTATTTGAACTGTAGGGAAAACACTGGACTATAAGGGTTTGTAGATTCTTATTGGCAATTGGAGCCAGCACATGCTATATTTTTCTAGCCTGACAACAGGTTGCAATATACCAAGACTGGACATAAATTTACTTCAGCATAACTTTTATAGGATTTTGAGAATGAGGGACCATTAGAGATCATCTCTCTTACAACACACTTGCTTTTAAATGAAGCTTAAGGTAAAGATTGAGTGAATTGCTTAGTATCATATAGATATTAAGTGGAAGAATCAGAATTTGGACTGAGGACTTGGGACCTTAAATTTCTTACTACAAATACAGAAGTTTTCACTTTTTTTTTTTTTTAACCATTCTACTCTATACAGCTCGGGTCAAGTGAAAGAAAGAAATGAAAGTTAATGATAGTTCTATATCTTCCCCCATGTTCTCATTAATCAAATGAGTCTTTAGGCTGAGATGTATCCTCCCTATAAATTATTCTAGACAATGCAGTTTCATTTTTGACTGTTCTTATTCTTTTTATTTTCACTGAATATGTGACAAGACATAGTAGTTTCAATAGTCTGAGATGAATACACGTTCCACTTCTGTGCACTTTCCCCACAGTTTTATTCTTTGTCCTCTGAGGTTCTTTTAAACTTGTATATGCTTCTGTGTAAAATTATCTTGTTCTTCATTTATACAGACACTGCTGTTTATTTCCTTTGAATTCTCCTTTGTGCACTTGAAGTTATTCTCACTGATGAAATCTAATATGTGTAAGCTTGCTTTGACCATGAATGCTAAAAGCTATTGCATATACAGTTGCTCTCTTTTGGAGTTGTGTACTTAAAAAAAAAAAGCACAGAGTTCTCTGTAGACCATCATGATTTCCCAGGACATGATGTGGATATGTCCTTTATGAATGCTCTTAAAATGGAAACAATTCATGCTTCATGAATTCGTAACCTTTTGGTTACAGCTGCATTTCATGTCTTCATACTTTACAAATATGGTGCTGCCTGCTCTGTTCTTGCCCTAAGCATTACTGTTCTTACCCAATTACTCTGTTAAATATTGTAAGATCCTTGAGAAGAGGGATAGGATATTTTTTCATCTTTGTATCCCTTATGCCTAGTACCTTGCATTATGCATAGTAGGACCTTAATACCTTTTTGTTGGATTGCTGGGTTTTATGGAGTGTAGATAATTCTGATATTGGTTTAGTATGGAAGGGATAATTGATTAAACTTCATTTTTCATCTCAAACTGCTGAACATAGGCATTGATCTCTTTCGCTAGCCTCATTTGTTTACTCAGCTAACATTTATTAAACCCTTGCTATGTGTTGTGTGAGAGACAGCATGGTGGATGGAGACCTGATCTCTAGCAATACTTGAGTTCAAACCCATGGCTCTGACATATCCTGGTTCTGTGACTCTGGACAGCTTATTTAACCTCTCTGCCCCAGATGACTCTTTAAGAATGTACATTGCAGGGCAGCTGCTGATGTCTATTGAAAGAGGGCATTTCCTCACTAACAAAATCACAGGTTCAGTAAAAAAAAAAATGCAAGGTACTGTGCTTAAAATTGAGGGAGATTCAAAGTTGAATAAAACCTGATCCCTGCTCTTAGCAAACTTAAATTTTGTTGTAGTAGGGAAGAAAAAACACATACTCAAATATATATGTTGCAAAGTAGAATGAGCTAAGTTTGTTAGAGAATCGATAATCCAATCCAACAAGCTTTTATTAAGCACCTGCTACATGCAAGGCATCATGTTAGGTGCTAGGGATACAAAGACAAAACATAAAGCAGTATAAAAATATACATACAAGGAGTATAAAATAACCAAAAAGCACTATGAGAGTTTAGAAGAAGAGGAGCTTATCTTTATCAAGGAATCTAGAAGTTTCATAGAACATGTGGTACTTGAGGCCGACTTTGAAGAGTGTGTAGA